TGTAGAGGTTTCGCTGCCATGAACATCTCTGCCAGCACATTGTGCTTGTTGCCCAACATGAACCTTTAGAACTGGTTAAACTCTGGCTAAAGAACCAAAAGTGCACAGCAGCTGTGATCCATCTGTGGGTAGGAGAAGCTCTGGTAATACAGCCTGACATCTCTCGACTCCCAGATTTCCTTGCCAAGCTGGCTACTTTGCATTAGCTGCTTTTAATTGAACACAGAGAGCCATAGGGGGTAGTAATATAAGATGATGTTCAGTCAGAGAGACCTTGATGCAGCTTATGTCACAGAAGAGATTGAAACGTTTTTTCCAGCAGTTTTACTAGAGAAGCTTCTGCGGGCCCCGGGTTTGTTGCAGAAAGTAGGTTTGAGTCAGAACGTGGCATAACAGCTTTTACTATTTATTGTTTTCCTTTAGCTCTCAGAGCCCTTCCTCAGCCAGGGCAGAAGCAGATGAAGAAAAGGTCGATCTCCAGGGCATGGTGCTGTCTCAACCTCCAGCAATGCTTGTCTCAACTACCAAAGGTCAGTGTTAGGGAATGAATCTTGAAGTTTCTCCTTCACTTACAATATTACCTTACTCCAGCCCACCTGTTTCAGGAAATTCTGCCTGCCTGGATTGCTCAGTGCTGTGACCTGGCCAGTTCTAGAGCCAGGAATGAATTCCTGGTGAAACACTGTTGCCTAAAATGAAGTGACAGAGGAGTGTTATCACTTCATCCTCCTTGTGGGAGCAGCTGCTGGAGTCCTGTAGGCTGCTTAGATTTCACTGAAGGGCAAAAAAACCACAAAACCACCCCATGGGAAATCTGTGCACATAGGGGCCTGTTCATTAAAGAAAGAGTCATGTGAAGACACTGCTATTAGAGCATTGCTGTCTGGTTTCTACTCCCACAACTGAAGATAGTTTCACAGGGAAAAAAACCTGAGGGGAGTGGAAGCTCAGCAGCTGTTGGGGAGAAGATGGCAGAAGGAAAGCAGGGTTGTACTGACATAGAAAGAAGGCATGGAAAACTGTATTGCCACAGGAAAGAACGGATGAGAAAAGAATGAAAGTGTAAGCCAAAAAGATGAAAGGAGCAGAAAGTGACACAGGGTGACAGAAAGAAAATGGAGAAAGGAGAAAAAGTGTTACCTTTGAGGTACACTCTTTGGTATAACTGGGTGTGTTAAGTCAGGTAGCTTGGCAGACAGCCATTGGCTCTGTGTTATTTGGGATTGGTATTGATGGCAGCTGGCTGCTGCTGATGGAATGAGTCACAGTTTCTTACTCCCCTTCCTTTTATGGCCATTAGTGATTCACGTTTGATGTAGGCTGCTGAGTTACACCACACCACGTTCCATCTGTATTTGGGCTCAGGATCAAGCTTTGCTCCTCAGACAGAAAACTGAGTTATCATGACTCTCAGATCTGGTCCAGAAGCAAACACCCTATGGGGTTTTAAGGAAAGGAAACATTCACTGACTCCTTCCCTCAGGTCTCCAGCAGCTTCTCTTGGAGACAGGAAGAGGCAGAGCATGCAGAACAAATATACTGCAACTCCCACCAGGTATACCTGCACCTTCTCAGTAATCAAAGTTTTACTGACTCTAGCAGGTATTCTTGTTGATTTGGGGTATGTGTATGTGAAAAATGTTTTTTTTAAAGTGTTACCAACTGGAGAGGAACCCAAATCTTATCACCTGCAGCCTTAAATTTTGAGAGTTCACATATAATGAATGTGGCACTAATGTCAGCCTGGCTCAAAGCCTGCAAAATTAAAGCCATAAAGCCGAACAGAACTTTTAGGCAAAGAAACACTCTGCCTCTCCCATCCTTGATAATAAACACAATATTTCCCTTGTTTTGTTGTTGTTGCTTTGAACTACCAGGCTGAGCCCGAGTCAGATTCTTGTGGGGACAGATATCCATATCACAAAGTCTAGAACCAAAAGAAACATTCACCGCTGATAGTCCTGCCCCCCAAAACAGGTGTAATTGGAACACAGAGACTAAAATACTCCAGCCTCATTCTATCATTCGGTTAGAGCAAAGAGAAATTAATGGGGCAGCGTACAGGAAACCCATGTAGGAGTGATATTGAGCATTTGTCTTCAGAGCTTGCTCTTGGCAGGTTATGGATCTCTGAATGTACATTGTGTACAGAAAAAAAAAGCTATATTAGGACTAGGACAGTGTAATAATGATGGTAAAAGCAGAGACCCAAGACAAGATTAGAACAAAGCAAATACCTCAGGTAGTTCAGAGTTTTCAGGAAGTCTTGAGCTTGTCCTGTAGTACCTAAGATGGGGCTTAGACACTGCTCAGGAGATCTTGCAGGCACTTCTTCCTGAGCTTGCTCATAGCATGTGCTGCCACCTTGTTGGCAGTGAGCTTGGGGTTCGGCTTAGAAAAGAGGAGTCTAAAAACCCAAGGTTCTAACCCAACATAAATTCCAGTTGCTTCTATAACCTGATCTACTGGGATGAGGGGTGCAAGGAGAGAATGAGAAGCCAGACCTGGTGGATGAGAATCAGGTAGGAGAGAGCAGGCTGGTACCATTATCATGATGACCCAAGATAAGGAACCTGTGAAGCCACAGATGGTACCAAACCAAAGAGTGAGGTGAGGTCATGATCACAGGCTGGTCCAAAGATTCAGGAACCCGTGCCACAAGGCACGCTGTGGGATGAGAGTTAGAGACAGGACTAAAGAAGGCACAAAGGGAAGCAGAAGCTAGTGCTGAACAAGATTGTAGAAGCTAGCTACAGGCTAGGACCAGCAATAATAGCAGAGAGGGATGGCTGTAAAATACAGTGTCACCATTTGGGATGCGCTTCAAGTTGGAACTAGCCACTGCGAGAGTTGCCTTGCTTTGCTGCCACTGCTTCTGTGGAAATAATATGCTGCTTTTCTTTTTGATCTAGGAGACATCATTTTGATGGTGTCGCCTGTGGTATCTCCTCATGCATACGGTGATGTGATTTCAGTCTGTGCTCATCGGGGGTTTGTTCTGCAAGGAGTCAGACAGCTGCAGCTTTCACCCGCGCAAGCCGCTGTGCTGAGCATGACAGCAAGTCAGGTACTGGACGGAATGCACAGCTCAGTTGTGTACCTGGGCTTGCCAGTTGTTCTGAAACTAATTATCATAGAATCGTAGAACATTATGGGTATGTGAGCCAACAGTCCTCTAGTGAGTGTTCTCAAGGACGCTCATTGTCTCTTTACTAGCCTAGCCAGCACTCGTGTTCTCTGGATTCCTGCGTGTGGTGCTCTGGTTGCTCTCAATGCTGGTCTTGGTTTAGTAGGAGAATCCCACCAGGCCTCAGCCTCTCACTGAGAACAGAAATGTAAATTCATAATCGAGCCTCCCCCTGCTGAGGCAAACATGAGTTTTACCATTGATCTCAAAATAAGCAAAAGCAGGCAGTAGCCCCATAAACCAAAATCACAATTTCTGATCTGCAAACGTGCATTTGGGAGAATAGTCTTCATCTAACAGACCGATGTTTGATGATGTATTTCACAG